GCACTCTTCCAAAGCCTTTCAACAGGGCTGAGGTACATGCACTCGGTCGATATTTTGAAGAACCCCCTATTCTTGGAAACGGGTCTTATTCGGGCAGAATATTCACTTGTTTTTACTTTTATTGACCGAATGCCATTGAAATATACGATTTATCTATTACTGAGATAGTTGCTGGTGTGTCAGTTGTAAAATAACAAAGCCACAGTAAAAAAACATAACTGGAATTTATTTATTAAAATAACCTATCAATTTGATATTGTAACTTCGTCTCGTCCATATTCTATTTGCTCTTCTTCAATTTCGAGCCCTAAAGGTAGTCGCTTTAGCATAGAGCCCGTCAATTTGATTATCCAACAGAATTAACCAGTTTTCCTCTAATACATCGCACACTGTAACCACTGACGACCACTGTCGAGGCAGCTGAATTATCCCTATTTACAGCACAACTAACAATTTTCGATTACATTTATATCCTAACTGCTCGGCGGTAATTAAATGAGTTCGACATTGGTTTTGATCCATTGAGAAACTGTATAAATGTGAAAAAAAGATTTTTGACGAGAGCGAATCCTTTTCTACTACCAATTTCATGTGAGCAAGTATACTAACCTTCATCTGTGAAAAGCATGACTTCCGCGAATGCATTTTGAGAGTGATAGTTAATGAAAATCTTTTTTGTCAGTGCAAGAAATTCCGCGATATCCAGACTGGTGTGTACAGGAGACCAACAACAAACCCCTCAGTGCTAATTTCCCTTTCAACTCATTAGGCAGGATGAATATTTACTTTTTATGACAGATAAAACAAAATACATTGGAAACCTGAGTCAGTAGATCAACTTTCTTCGTCTGTCGGATTACGTGTTGGCCACCGGGGAGATCAACCCACTGCCAACTGAACGGATGACGCGATTTGAATTTCAATCAATCAATCAATGCATGCACTGCTATGTTGGACGTTCAATAACGGGCTTCATCTCAGGTGGCCGCAGCTGAATTTCAAATGGAGCCATCATTTTCTAAACGGTAGCGTGAGGAAAAAAACAGCTAATCCACCCATACTATCCTCCATATTGGTTGTGTACAACTTTTGTCCACTGCGATCAAATGCAAACATTA